TACGTGCCGACGCTGGAGAAATCCTTTCTTTTTTTTTTTTTTTCGCGAAATATCACGATAGAGATTACACAGGCTGTGTGACACACAGGCAGGCGCGTAACCGTACGCGAGATTGAAAATTCGCAGGGGAGAAAGGGGAGGGGGAGGGGGGAGAAACTTTTGATCGATATATACCACATATTACGGGTATGGTCTGCAATTCGTGATTACTTTTTTTCATCGTTAGGCTGCGAATTTTTACGCATCCGTTGGAAATTTCAAGATTGAAAAAATGCACAGAATGTGTAACGCTCGGAAATTTGTAAAAAATCTTCTGTTCAAATTACAGGCGCTCGTTGTAATATTCGAAGAATGAGGGCAGTCTCCATTTAGGTTCTACTTCATCGGTGGAATGCACGTTAAATTCACACGGACGTCCGCAGACTATTCATCATGTTCAGATTGAAAATTTGTTTCTGGAGAGAGCTTGCACGATTTATCTAGGATGAATGATACGTGAATAATCTATGATATGTGATTAGTTTTCGTCATGTTCGGATTCTTTTGGTATCTTTCTCTTTTTAGAATATTTTATTGAAAGTGTTCTCGAATAGAACACTCTTCGATTGAAACGTATCTATCTGTCAATCATTTCTTAATACGATTTAAAATATTTGAAGTTCATGGCGTTACAATATATACGTACAAATGCATTACAAATATATGTACACGTAAAGAGAATGTTGATTAAAACACAGAGGGAAAAGTTCACACGAAGGAAACGATCTTTGACGTCCCTTTCAAGAGATACGAACGAATTTATTACGTAACTTGATGATATATAAGTTTGAAGAAAGAAGATAGACTTCATACCTAGTGATTAATTGATCTGAAAGTGTAAATTCGTATTTTAAAGGTCAGCGTACTTTTTAATGACAAGAACTGTCTCGTCGTCGAACTAACTTACGTCAGCAGTTAATTATCTAACATCTCCATGACCCTATTTCTGGCACGAATTATAAATCATTCGTTACATATATATATATATACCGACTGTTGCTTGTTTATCTTCGGCTTAACAATAAACTATGCTCTGCTATCTCTACAAGTAAAAATAACAAAAATATTTTACGTAAAGTTTCGCTCGAGATGCTTGAAATTACAAAGTTGCAAGCAAATATTGGAGACTCATTGTCAGTCTGCGTACATGCAAGGTACGCAGTTTCTACTTTAGCAAATGCGAAAGATAAATCGTACTTATGTACTTTATTTCTACCGTAGTTGAGCATAATTGCTTCACTGCTTAAATTCCCAGTGGTATCGTTGTATAGGTACGTTGATAGGGAATCAACATCGACGTGGCACGGAATTTCTTGAGAATTTTACCGGGTATCAGCAACTAAGTTATTCATTCGTTGCCTCCTATCTTCCCGTGATAACAAATTTCTTCCCACGCGCGTATTTCACGCTACGCTCGATATTGGCTTTCGTGGCGTTTATTAACAAAGCGTTACTCAACGAAAGTTCGTGTAACAGTTTTTCCTTACTTTCACTTGTAAATTAGATTCAGCCGCAGTTCGACCGGTAAAGTGGGGAACACTTTCTGTGAGATTTATTATTTTATATTATACGATATTAACCTTCTAATACTAGAGCAGCTTATTAAGTCTCGAGGCTGAAGTTTTACGAGGCTCTTGAACTTCCAGTTAATTTATACGTAAATGTAGAACGTCCCTGACAATTCTTCTTCTTACTGTTTTATCTTTATTGCGCATTTTCTTAATAAATACAGCAGGATAGAGTGGCTCGTTACGTCAGTTTCGTTTTAACTTGCCTTTAAGTGAAGCCTCTAGGGAATACATACATGCACGTATGTAGGGGCGAAGTTTCAGGGAAGTTAATTTAATAGAAATATGTCAATGTTTCACGAAAGTATTCTAATCATAAGTTTAATTAAACTTCCCGATCGAAGCTCCGCTTATTATAGAAAACTTTAATGCGATTGAACTGCGTCTTCAAACGTTTCCGAGAGCATTGAAAATTTTTTTTTTTTTTAATGATTAGATCCACGATGATTTCGAAGATTGGAACGATCTTTGCAACGATCTCTCAACGAAACGTGGCGCACGAATTTTTTTTCGTTTGTTTCATCGGGTTTTGGGTATCAGGGTCAAACGACAAAAATTGATATTAACATTTCGTTGTTCAACTGCAGTTTTTAAGGTTCCATAAAATGGTGAGAGAAGAGATCGTACAGCAAGATTTGCGGGCTCGTTGCAAAGAGAACATTTCAATCTTCGTGTCTAGTCGTAAACAGGAGATAATTTTCGATACGAATTGCATGTAATTTCGAAAACTAACACGATCAAATTATCTTCTTTGAACGAAATGATCAAATGATCGTTTCTTCAAACGAACCAACGTTCGAAATTCGGAAGTAAATCTCTAATCTCTACGAGTATCTCATCTATATTAATTAATACGAAATCACGTCACGTTTCACAAATATTTAAAGCATCGAAGCCAAGATCCTGCTTCTATACAGCGTGGTTACAAAACTGTAATCGTCTCGAGAATTTTCGTAAAAAAATATCCCAATTACTTCCAATTATACGTGTCATCCGATGGCACGACTTTTGGCCATGCAGGTCGGCCGAGTACCTCACTGTGCGACGACCGAACTCGTCGGGGCTGAAAAGTGTGCCGTGTTCGGGCCGGCAGCAGATAGACGCGATCGAACGGAAATCCGATACGCACGCACTGAAGAAGATGACGCTTCGTTTGCAGCCCCCGGGGCTAGGATAATCGGAAGAACCGAAGGGCTGGAAAAGTTGACGAGGTGTGCCGGTTTGCTCGCATTATTCCAAGGAGTTGAGCCGATAATTGCCGGGGCCGTGGGATCGATCGCAGGCCAGCCACGGTGTACACCCATGGTTATTGGAAAAAGTAGCGCCGGAGAATTATTTCACCCTTGAACCTCGTCCGTCTTTTCCGCGTTCGTACAACTCGCTTCCCTCTTCGCTGGCCTTCCTCCTCCTTCTATTTTTAATTGCCTCTTCTTCTGTTGAATTCTTCTTCGAAAGGAGGAGATTCCGGGTGTCAGCGTCGCGTTTTATTTTATTTGAGATAGAAAAGTAAAAAGGTAAGGATCATTGATTCGTTACGTTGGAGAAAATGAGGATTTTATCTCTTGTCCGAATCAAATGATATTTCTCAATTCGTTGAAATAAAGTGACAAGCTTTATATGCATATCATTAAATAAAACCAGTTATTCTGATACGATGAATTTTCTACAACATCTGTCTATATCTGAATTTTATATTTCTTAACATGATTAATATCTACGCAATGAAATCCGAAGCTATTTGAAAAGCTAGTACAAAGAAGAAATAAAAGAAAGATCGAGCTTGCTTATTCGAATATATAGACGTGAGATCATTTCAAGATAACATCCAATGAAATAAGACGACGTGCCACTTAAACAATTATTTTTCAAATATTTCGTTCGGACAATGGCCCTTCGAAACTTCGGTTTCGAGAGAGCAAACGAGTTGAGCGCGTTTACTCAGTGATTTTTACGTTCACTGCGATTTCCAAGCGACTGTTTGCTCGCGCAGATTCGTGGGGATGAGCGAATTTCGCTGGGTCCGATCGGATTCCCTCCGGTGCCTCGCTGAATAATGTATCACCATCGATTCGCCGGCAGACGGCGCGAAATAACGAAATTATTCTACGTTTAATATCCCTTAGTAATAATGCTAATGATGATCTTAACGCGTGTGTTGCAGAGCCAGGGTGAAATCCGGCGTGAAGATCTTGGACGCGTCGTCGAGTAACCCTGAATGGATCGTCGACAGCAAGATCAACGCGAAGAACACGATCGCTACGTTCACCGCCAGGCGAAAGGAGAACGCATCGCGATTACCAAGCGTGTAAGTACGTCGACACTTTTGCGCGATGGGTTTCGTTAGATTTCGATAATTGTGCTCTACTGGTCCGTCATTTGAACGTTTTATTTTAAGAAATTCTCATACGTAGCAAATGCGCAGTAAATTTCATTTCAGTAGGTAATTTAACGGCATCAAGTTTGAAAAAACGAATTCAGTTCAGATCATTTTCGTGAGTCATTATTGAGGATATTGACAGAAGAATGAAAATTACGTCGACAATGCGTGTATTCTCATTTTATTGCGGAACTTTCCAGAAACGACAAACTTTTATATCTATATATATACATATATTCGCGAATGTAACGCGTGAATAAAATTACGTATCGCTTACGACGAACGACAGAACATTAAAGAACGCTAACGCGGCACATTTTTATCTCTATACATAAAATGATCGTTAAATGGCTGATCATTTTCGAAGAATCTCCATTATCTGGTGGATGATGCGCAGTGAACAGAACATCGCGACGTTTCTTCCCCCATTTGGGTATTCTCTTCTCCAATTCTGAATCTTCCTCAGCTTCCTCGTGTCCCAGATGTCGAATATAAAAATCGACGTCTACGTTAAGGAGACCGGCTACGGCTGGTCCCTTGGAGAGCCTCTGTAACTACTGCTGTTTATTCTTCTCCTCGGAGGAAGATTTGCTATTCGAATCATGGTAGGTCAGTCCATCAATCTGCCTCTTGTACAGCCTCCTTTGGCACCTTCTTTTCTGGACGTTGTTATCGTTGCAGTTATTCTTTCTTCTTCTTCTGTGTTTATTGTCCATCTCGTCACTGTCACTGCTGCTGCTGCTGCTGCTGCTACTGCTGCTACTGCTGCTACTACTGCTGCTCTTGTCATTGTCGTTACTATCGTTATCATCGCCCTTACCGTTACCGTTGTCGTCGTCGTCGTCGTTGTCGTTACCGTTATCGCCGTTGCATCTCTTCCTCGTTTCTAGCTCGCACGGAGCGAGCTTTTCTTCTTCCTGTCTTCCGGCCAGCAACTCGTTTCGCGTCGTCCCGCCGTCTCGCGTTCCTCTCTTAGCCCTTCCTCTCGCGGCACCAGTTCTCTCCTCGCTGCTGTTGGATTCCTGGCTGGAAGAGTCGGCTGGCGGCTTCGCGGTTGCTGCGTTCGCTTCCACTTCCGTCGCGCGACGCGACGGACCCGCCTCGCCTTGCGGATACGCCTCGACGTAGAACACGGAGTACGCCAGCGTCGCGAACAGTGCGACAATTATTAACGCGTTGCAACGCATGTCGTGAATATTCGCGATATAATATTGAACTCGTCGGCTCGCCTCGTCGGTCTTATATACCGCGGATGGACCGCTGATAAACACGCGATTGAAAGAAATCGAGAGAGAGAGAGAGAGAGCAGTGGTACTCATGGGATCGCGCCGGACAGAGATTAATTCTTCATTGGATTATTGCGAGTCGATATTCCCCTCGTTCGCGGGGAATATCGTTCCATCGTTGCAGTAAATTAGATCGCTTCTTCCTCCGATGAACGGATCCCGCGCCGTTGTTTTTCGCCGTTGTTTTGCAAACACGGGCTCGACGTTGAGAAAAATAATGAGCTCGTTTCTGCGAAGTTTACACGACGTGTCCTTTCATGCATTTTGCATCAACCGCTTGTACCACGTAATAAAGAGAAAGCTACGATACGGGACGGTCGGCTTTGATTTTTCTGATATTCAGAGGCAAATGATGGGGAGGCGGTTCTCTTTGTGAGTATGAA